CTGAGTCAATTCCTACTCAAAGCAGCCTTCAAAAAGCATCTGCATTTGAAAACCTGGTCTTCTATAGAAGAGCGACTTGGAAAATACCGTTTTAGAATGAGAGGACACTGTCATCATAGAAGATCAGGTACAACTCTGCGTAAGAACTCTATCTACAGCGGTTCTCAACCTTCCTAATGCCGCAACCCTTTAATACAGTTCCTCATGTGGTGGTGACCCCCCAACCAGAAAATTATGTTCATTGCTACTTCATCACTGTCATTTTGCAACTGTTATGAATCATAATGTAAATATCTGATACGCAGGACGTATTTTCATTGTTACAAATTGAACACAATTAAAGCATAGTGATTAATCACAAAAACAATATGGAACTATATATTGTGAAATAGTTATTTCTAATGACAAATAAATGAAATTTTGTCTTGAAGCATGGTGTAGCATGGGTAACAGTCTTCAACAATGGGTACTCGTATGTGGGTGTATCTGCATGTGGGCGGACCTGCCTGGAGACGGATAGAGGAGCGGTGTCTCGATTCCTAAGACCATCAGAAATACGTGTTTTCCGATGGTCTTAGGCCACCCCTGTGAAAGGGTCGTTCAACCTCCAAAGGGGTGGTGACGCACAGGTTGAGAACCATTGATTCCAGATTCTACTAGAAAGATATGTAGGGTTAGGACAATGGGATGGAGAGGATAGTGAAAATGCACTCCCAGGAGAAGAGCAAAGCAACAGGAGCACATGCAAACAACGGGGACTATGACTAGCTAAAATTAGACGTGGCATTAGAAGAATGAAAATGGGCAATAAGAATGAAGCTTTGGCAAGGGCATGGGACTTTGGTAAAGATGATCTTGATATTCCTGATTCGGAGTTGGAAGTTCATTTGGTGCAAAATGAACAGGATGACCACATGTCTCAGGAGGCCTGGGACTTTCCTGGTCTAAACCTGTTGCTTCATAGTCAAACCACCTTTGGTATTTGTGGTAATCAAAAGATCTCAGTTAAATAATAAATTGTATAATCAAATAATTTTTAGTTCTTACCTTTACAGATAGATAATATTTACAGATTAAATGAAATAATAACTGGGACATGCATTTTGAAATAATTGAGAGTAGTTATACATTTAAAGGTTGTCTGTGAAAACTGTTGGCTTATACTTGAGTATATACAGTAAGTACATGAGAGTTGGTTATACTACTTTCTCAGAATATAAAATGGAAGAAATAGTTTGTGTTTAGAATATAGTTAATGAGTTAAACATAATAAATATATAAAATTTTGAATCATATGTAAAGTTTATTCACTTTCTAAAAACAATAGAGTACAAAGAAAGCAATCATTATGCCAATGAGTTAACAATGTTACAAACCTCTGTGGTCTTTATAATCTAATCTACAAGTCAATCTATAAATCTGAGTATTTTAAGTTATTATTTTAAAACAAAGCTGGATTTCTCTATTTAAATTCTACAATGAATATGAAAGTCATTTAAAAATCTGCAACAAAAATATACTTTACGATAAGCATCTTTATTATTAACATATATTAACTTTTTTTTGGTCACTAACACAGCTAACTTTATAGCCTAACATTTATTACAAAGACATCTATTGCCAAGTTTAATAGAGTACTATTTCCAACACACAGTCTAGTAGAGCCCAATGTTTAAATAGGGCTCTTAAATAATGACTGGGATTTTTCTAGTTTAACACTCAACTGATGCAGCAAAGAGTCCTGATGGCGCAGCGGTTAACCACTCAACTGCTAACTAATCACTGAACCCACCATTTAAACTACGGGAGAAAGATGTGACAATATGCTTCTGTAATTATTTACAGTCTTGGAAACCCCATGGTGGAGTTTTACCCTGTCCTATAAGGTCCCATAGGAATTCAATCAATGGCAATGGGTTTGGATGATGCAGCAACGCTACCTCTATTTTAAAGGTAGAGGAGAAGCAGCAGCTGCGCTGTGCACCAAATGTTTCATTTTTCCAACACAAAGACATAAGATTTTATCTTCTTAATGACATTAAATAATTTTTAAGGCATCAAATTTCTCTCTTGCATAAAATTAATGGGTTAATGTACTCATTATTTCCACAAACATGTTCAGAGTCCTACATTATGCTAGGTAATGACCGAGGTACTGGAGTTATAAAAGTAAATCTTTTTATGGTTTAAATTAGATTTTGTAATATGCCAAAAAAAAAAAAAAAAACCCTCAGTGAATTTCATGATCCTCACTATCTTTGAAGATCTCTAACCAGATTACAAACTCCTTCTGGGAGACATTTGTCTTATTTTTCATTGTAGTCTACAAATGATAACAAAATACATTTCAATGAGTTAGTTATAAGTATATACAATGTGTATAGCTACTATACTCAAAACTCACTGCCATGGAACCTATTCCAACTCACCGCAGCCCTACACAGGGTTTCTGGCGATAGACATTCTTAGGGGAGCAGAGTCTCCTTATTCTCCTGCTGAATAGCTGGTAGATTTGAAATGCAGACTTGGTGGTTAGCAGTCTAATACTTAGTCAACAGCACCACCATGGCTCCTTACAAATAAAGACTGTATGATCTCAAAGAGTGTTATCAGGAGTGATTGCAGTTATATATAGTATACATTTATTGTATCATAAACATGAGCTCTTATCAGAAGGAAATAATGTTTACTATGCAGTGCTTGACACATAATAGATGCTCAATAAGCATTTGAATAATGGGGCAGCATCTCCAAAGGAGCTGGAAATACAATTGGGATTCCCTGGACATACCAAAGATAAATTCCCTTCCAACAGATTATTTCTGCATCAATCCAACCCAAGAAAACTAATTATGGTTTCCATAATCAACTGTAGGGATCAAGATCGAGAAGACTGTAGTAGGAAACAATGGTTAAGAAAAGAAAGAAGCCATCTACCTTCTACCTTATATTTTCAGTCCTAGACAACTAAAGCCAAACCAAACTCACGGTGATCGAGTTGCTTTTGGCTCACAGGGACAACCATCAACATTTTACTTTCAAAACAAAGCCCAGAACAATTTTTACTAAGAAAAATATTTGTTATACTTTCACTATGAAGCCTTTAAAGCTTGAGGTCTAGAATATCCTAAACCAGTAGAGAGTACAACTAATAAATAAAAGGCACCAATGGTATAAATAACCATGTAACTGGGCTGGTACAAAAGAAGGATCTTCATCTCAGA